TGGGTTCGCGAGGAACCCAGGAGCCTAGGTTCCTCGCGAACTCGCAATCTGGGTTCCTCGTGGCTACCCAAGAGCCTGGGTTCGCGAGGAACCCAGCTCGCGGGTTCGCGAGGAACCCAGCTCGCGGGTTCGCGATGAACCCAGCTCGCGGGTTCGTGATGAACCTAGGCGAATCCACAACTCCACCGGAGGATTGCAACAGCCTACCGTGCCTGGCCGCGTCACGCGCTCTGAGTTGGCTCAGGTTGAGTTGGTGACTGAGCGGAATCGCTCTCTCAAGCTTAAAGGTCGTCTGAAACTCACCCAAAACCACTGCCACCAACAAAATCAAGGCGGCTAACAGGATTCCGACGCAAAAAGTGACCGTCATTCGACTCATTCTTCCCCTCTAAAAAAATCACTTTACAAAGAAACGAACTTTTTCACCCAAAACAATAACCAAAAAAATAACTATAAAATGAATTGGGTTTCAATTTCTAACAAAATCAGAACACAAGGAAAAGAATCAATAGAGAAAGATTATGGGCGTGAAGAACCCAGGCTCCTGGGTTCCTCGCGAACCCAAGCTCCTGGGGAGCCTGGGTTCGCCTGCGGGGTAAGAGGAAAAAAAAGAAAAAAAAAAAAAAAGGCCGGAGGAAGTGGAGTCCACGTGGAGGGTGACGTGGAGTCTACATGGAGGATGACGTGGAGTCCACGTAAGCATCTTTTACATGTTGGCATATCCACATCAGCTATTTCAGTTAAGTTAACGTGCCACGAGACCAAAAATTAATGGAATGACCAAAAAGGGGCCGGATTTGTGAATAGTAAGGATTAAAAAAGGGATTTTTTCGGTACAGGGACCAAAAAGGGGCTTTTCCCTATAGTAGAGGGATCAAAAAGGGTATTTAACCTATCTATAATTATGGCTGGTGGTGGGAGTGGAGGTGGGGCTTGTTGATATCCCACGCCTTGTCTGTTTCCTGCGTTACGAGATCCCTGTGGCTATGCCCCCTGTTCTCTAATAAACTTCGGTTGCTCGGTTCGCTGGATGTATTCATTTAACATGCCCTTCTGAGCGAGAGTTTCCAGTTCGGACCTTAGACTATTGTACTGCTCTGTTGTATGACCATAAACTTAATGAAAATCACAGTACCTGATATGATCACGTGTAGCGGCGGAGCTTCGCATTGGTCCTAGTCGCCTCAAATCCATCTTGTTCTTAATCTACATGAATATCTGCGACCCTGGCAGATTAAAAGGAGTCCATGTAACTGGTGCATTACTGATATTTTGCTGGGGAGGTACAGAGTTCGGCTTTCCAAACTTAGGTGGGGAGGTCATCATCGAACCTCGGTTATGTACTGTCTTCATTCATTTTTTGCTTTGACCCTCATCTCTCCAATCTGGGTTTTGATTTCTCGGAGGAACTGGTTTCTGGGATAAAGCATATTCCTCAGCAGTGATGAATTTCAATGATCTGTCATTAACCTCGTTGAAAGTAGCAGCAGGATGCTTGATTAAGCTGTCTCTGAATCTTTCATGTTGGAGACCTTGAATTACAACCACAATTCCCACGACTTGGTTAAAGGAGCTGATTGCAATTCCCACGACTTGGTTAAAGGAGCTGACTTCGAGAACTGCATCAGAGAACTGCATCATTGAACTTGCTCATGTAATTCTTCAAGGATTCTCCGTCCCTCTACTTGACTCGCATAAGTTCAGAAGTGGTTTGCCTGATCAACCTTCTGTTGAAAACTTTGTGGCAAAAGCAGATGCCATTTCTGAATAGGAGCTAATAGATCTTGGGGGCAAATTATAGTACCAAATTCGGGCATTACCATGGAGAATGAAGGGAAATATCTTACACATTAACGCATCAGAGGCGTTCTGAGCTTGCATACAGGAATAGAAGGCATGGAGGTGATCATCGGGGTCCTTTGTCCCATCATATGTCTTGAGCTGAGGAATTTTGAAGTCAACAGGATAAGGTTCCAATGTGATGTTAATGTTCAGAGGATGGGGTATGGAGTCAGTATTGTAGTGTGGAGGTGAGGCACCTCATTGTTCAGCTACCAGTTTTTCTAAGCTGTCCAGACGTCGAGTGACATCATCAGGTAGAGGTTGTTGAGCTGGGGCTATGTGAGACTGACCCTGAGACTCATTAAGAGCAGGAGCATGCTGAACTGGTTGAGGGTCTTTCTGTGGAGCTGGGGATTGTGGAGCAGGATTGAGTAAGTTGATGAGGGGATCGCCAGGATTATTCCAAGTTAGGAGCTGAGCTAATACTAATTGAAAGACACCAAACTATTGTTGCATGGCAGCAAGCTGAGCTGTAACTACGTCTTGATTGGCGGTGGAAGCTGAGTTGTGAGGTTGGTTTTCATCTCCTCCTTCTGCATGATCAACAAGAGGGAACATATTTGGGATCTGAGGTGGGAGGTGAGGTGGAAGGTTGTTGGGGAGTTGACCTTGTCCAGGAGGCTGAGATGGATTTCCAGTTCAGACTGATCGAGTGTTAACCATGATGAGAGAGTAACAAAAGAGCTTTCAGTTCGATTCCCACAGATGGCGCCAATGTAATTGCACCAAACCAGAGATCCTTCTTCAATTTGCATCTTCACTTCGAATGAACCTGCAAAGCCCCAAGGTGGGTCCTCGGGGTAGACACTCCGATGTTTAAGTTAGCAATAATCGAGTCTATCTCTGGACTAATGAAAAATGAGCTTTAGGTTGGTTTCAATTACCCTTTTGAGGTGGCCCCTGCGGGGTATTTATAGGCCTTTGTGAGGTATCCACGTGGCTTGCTTAGCAGGATGATCGGAGTGTGACGTGTCCCTTTGGGCTATAAATTCGGGACCGACGGCAAATTCGGGACTAGGGAATTGTGTGATAAATCAGGTGTGGGCATGCCCACTGTATTTACTATGCAGCCACTTGACCAGAAGTGTTGGATTTAACTTCACTTCGACTATTAAGGAATTGTTACAGTACGTCCGAGGTTAAGAACCTCGGACCTATCCTTACACTATCATTCTCAACAAACAATAATGACTTCTACTTTGCTCGCATTAATCCTTTTGTTACTCTAATGTTTTGTGTCAAATGATTATGAATTTGTTACTCATAGATGATTAGAATTCAAGATTTGGGTACCTCTGGTTTTGGTAGGAAGGGATATTTATTTCTCAGAAATATTTCTTAGAAACAAGCACTGGGAGAGCTTCCCCCTAATGGGGTCTAATGTGGCTCGATTTCTTATTAGTCAAAATTCAATGTGGTTACTGGATACCGAGAGGTTAATATCGAAAAAAAAATATATTAATCCACCAGAGTTAGGTGAACAGTGACAAATTGGAGCTGGTTGGTATAGTGGTTTGAAACTGGTAGTTAGTGGTTTCATCTAATCTAACAATGGATAATTGTTATTATTAATAATTCAAATACTCTTATTCATAGGATTAAATGAAACCGTTAACCACTACTTTGAAATTGCTATACCCCCTTTAAGAGAGAAAGAAAACAAAGCCAAAAAAGAAAAAAAATCTTGGGGATGCAGCTGTTGTCGGTGTGATCTTACATTGTTACATTGGATGATAATTAACAAACTCTATAAATAATTGAAACTATGTCAGTTAAGAATTGTTGCATGTGTGAGGCAACATAGTTTTGGCTATTGGAATCTGAGGACGGTAGATCTTAGGCCCCTAATGTTGAACCGAACATCAAGTTTGTTGTAGGACACTCCTAATTTTTTAGAGCAGCTGAAAGCTCGAGGAAAATGAATATGATTTTGATTAATTTTGGTAGTTGTATGGTTTTTGACTATTGTTATTATTTAATGATAATCATTTCTAAGGAATTGCACATCTCAGCCTTTGCATTGTCAAATAAATTCCTTTTATTTATTTTTGTTTTCTATCTTCTCCTTAACAGGTGCACTTGATTGAGAGAGAAAGGCAGACTGCAGTTGTGGTCTCGAATTATGCCTTACAGAGAGTCCTTCGCCTGGGCTATTGTTCCTTTATTTGATAATAGCTTTGGTGCAGCTTCTGGTGGATCTGCTTCTCCTAGTAGCCCTCTTGCTTCCAGCGTGACTGGGTCAAGTTCCCATGAGGGTGTCCTTGAGCCTGTTGTAAAGATTACATTAGATGGGAAGATGGGTTATTCAAGCGGAAGCTCTTTTGTTGTTGAAATATCTAACTTGCATAAAGTGAAAGAAAGCTATACTAAGGAGTCACTTCAAGTATAATGGACATCTAACCTTGTTAATTTGACATTCTAGTTGATTTCTGGCTTTTATTCTGTATGGTTTACAAAGATCCATAGAAAACTAGTTGAAGTCCTTCATTTCCTCCATCCCAATATGTATAATTTTGATTTCTTATAAGGTTTAATGGAGTCATTAGATGACAATATAAACTGGCTTCAGGTATGTTAATGGAGTCATCCTGAACCTAAGCCACAAGGAGAGGATGAGGAAGGGGTAGAGGGTAGGTGAAGCAGTGGTAAATGGACTTATTGCATGTCAAATGTAATCATATGTCAATGAGTTAGCTAAACTTCTGTAGGTTTCTGTTCATTTGGGGCTTTACATTTTTGTGAGACAAATAGTGATGTAATTGTAGCTTGTGAACCAAAATTTTAGAGTTGGTGCTATCAACTTATGGAATACTTCATCAAACAATAAAATTTTATAACGTTTCTTATCTGCCTTTGTGATTAAGATATCTTGGTTGATAAGATACGTGGAGGGGGCCATTTGTGAGGTATTTGCAAGAATGATCCTGTTATGCCACTGCTTTAGCAAATGTGCGTGCATTAGCATGATAAGTGAAAGGGAGCTGGTGACTCTCAATGAGGGTCTACTTGGCAGAGCTTATTCTCCAACTTGCTTATAAGTGCCTTTTTCCTTTTTTTCATTTTTCTCACAAGTTTAAAAAAGTATTGGAGGCAAACACTACTTTTTAGCATTCAAAATGCTCATGACGAAAGCAATTGCTTATTAAAAATCCAAAAAACTGTGCCAAACACCCTCTTAGAAACCTGTTAATTGTAATTAGCTAGAGAGTAGAAGTGTAGAACAGAAATACAGAATGCAGAGAAGAATAAAACAATGAAGAATATTAGGCTAAATGAAGAAGATACAATTAAGAGAGGTCAAAGAACTGCTGATAAAAAAGTAAGGTTGAAGAAATGAAGAATCTGAAATGATCTGTAGATATTTTGTGAGCATGTATCTTTTTTTGAGTATAGAAAGGCACATAGTTACCTCTTTCACTAATTAAAAGCATTTATATATATATATATATATATATGTATGTATGTATATTTTCTAGAGTAACCAGTACAGCATCTTCTGCCCCTGTTTTCTCTTGGTCATCTTTTTTCCTTAATTATACTCTTATCATTTATGCTGCAATGGCTTCTTCTGATTTTCTGCTTCACTCTGTGCTTTTTTTTTTTTCTGTTCTTTTCTTTATTTATTTCTCATAATAAGATCCCAAATGCAAGGTCCATAAACCTGTGAAAGATGTTTTAAGACTTGAAATTGAGAAGCACCAGACATTTAATGCGAAGGTGGAAAATATTTCAGAAAGTGCCAGCATGATTAATGAATCCATGGACCCAGGGGATCAAGTTGCTGATGCAATGTTTATAAAGAGCCCCAGCAATGGTTCTGATGGGCCTCGGCGTAGCAATTCCAAGTGGATTCCTAATGATGAGAAAAATGCATCTGGAAATGGAAACACTCATGGATATCCAGATCTCAATGTTGATGTAAGCAGAATGCCTTTACTTGCCTTCCTTTTATATTTTATTTATGTTTCGGCTGCTTATTTGCATGGCTGATAGGAGACAACCAGAGAATTTTTCTTGTTCTGTAATATGGTTGCCTTAATTTTTGCTTCAATTTTGAATGGATAAATGCCTGAATTAGCTTGGAACAAATTTATCTATCTGCATTGTGATGCTGGCTATAACCTTGTCACCATAAGATATATTAAGTCCATAGACCAGAGAATGAATAATTGAGGTGAGGGGTTTACAACATGAATTATGGAAGCAGTTAATGTTGCTCTTGGCCATGAGTAGTTTAGATCAAATTACTTCTTGAAAAAGAAAAAATTTGTTTCCCACAGGTTTTATTTGATCCCTGTCAATTTTTTTTTTTTTAGTCTTTCTTCTGCTATTATTTTGTTTTGGTTCTTATGGTAGTACTAGCTTTCCATCTTTGGTATAGCTGTTCGAAGTTATATCCAGAGGCTAATTTTTTGTGCTCCAAAGATCAAAGATACCAATTTTCTGGGTTTTGGCGAACCCTTAATTGTCTTTCAAATCATTTCCTGTCATCCCCCTACTTGATGATGCATATGAAAGAGCAGGGGCATTCTTTCTGTCCCTCTTGATTCAATTCCATATGGCAAGGGGCATTTAAATAATGAGAATTGCATTTTAAAGTAAAGTCGATGTACCTGAATTCTATTCAATTAGACATAATTTTCAACTTGCATGAAAATTTAGCTGAGGTTAATTGAGAAATTTGTTTTCCAGCCATATGCTAAATGTGGTGTAATGATCTTTATATGGATGTTGCTTGTCCAAGCAAAAATCCTCTCAAGAAGGGTTAAACGTGTTGCAGCTATTCTTTCTTTGATGTTTGAATTACTTTTACCAATGCAACTTTGCTTTTATTTGTGTGAAACCTGTTTACCCTTAATTAGTTTCTTAATGTTAACCTGCAGTTCCAGGCATTTGACTTTCAGACAACTTAGAGAAATGAACCATTCTTGCTGCTTTTTCATTATCTATATGTATATCCTTTAACTGTGAGTTTGAGTCAGAAAAGGAATCTATTCGTAAGAGTTTTGCTGAGAAAGGATGTTGCAGATGTTCATAGACAACCTTTAGAGGTAAAATTGTTGATTCATATTTTGCACTATGATTTTTAAACTTAAGTCTTGTGGTTCTTTCTGTGCTACTGATATGACTAGGCAATGTATCCAAGGGAACCTGGTTTATCACTACAAAAGTGGGCTCGCATGCAAGTTGCTGTTGGTGCTCAGGTGGCCTGCTACCATGATGAAATTAAAGTCTCTCTCCCGATTGTTTGGACATCATTGCATAACCCTCCATTCACTTTCTTCCATGTTGATCTCCATATGAAACTAGAAGCTCCAAAACCAGAGAGTGCAATATGATGCTGTTTTCTTTTTCCTTACATTTGAAATAATACAAAATCATCTAATCTTCATCTTAGTGGTTGTATACTCAATGTTTAGTGGTTCGGCCTGTTTCGCACTCCACTCATTCTATCTTTTATTGTGCTCCTAAGTAGTTCTGTTCTTTTATTTGGCAGGTAGTAATTGGATATGCAGTGCTTCCATCATCCACTCATGCACAGTATGCAACTGCCTTTTTATTTGTCATCTCTTGTTTCGTTTCTCTTTTTGATGATATATTAAACTATTAACTAAAATTAATTGTTCTGCCACTAGAGTGATTGGTATTGCAGTTCATGGTATTGGAAAGAAACTGGGGACAGAAATATAATCACCTGTTCGGTATTTTAGTAGTTTGTTAAGGTTCAGTTAGTTATCATTTCAATTCTCAGGTTACTTTCATGGTTCATATTGTGGGTAATTGGATGATATCAATGTGAGTCTTCATTAACCCTACTGTGAAATGCTACTCTGTTTATTCAGATAAGTTTGAGAAAATTGTGTTAAACTTAAAAACAATAGAAATGGTATCTTGTCTTAGTGTATGAAGTTATCAAACAATAAAAATCATATGTCCTTGTTTATACCTAAATAAATTCAGTATTTTGGTACAAGTCGCACTTGAGTAGGGTCCAGAGAAGGGTCGAATTGGGAACAATTTCATCCTTTAGCATTTTTTCCTAAATCAATTGCAATTTTGACTTGATAACGAGAGTAATAATTATATGCTTCAAATAATGGTTTTTATTTCTGATGAAAGTATGATTAATTATTGATATTTATAAAATTATAGGTTTAAAAGTTATATTTTTTTACAAGTAATTTCATAAGTATTCATTTTATTTATATTGTGTAAATATTTTATAACTGAAGGTTTGATTATAAAATGGAGAAAATTAGAAAAAGGGACTTAAATGCAAAGAGTTAGAAAGATGAGGATCTAAAGATTAAATTTAAAAGTTTGAAGGCTCAAGTGGGATTTTTTCCATTTTTGATTAAGCGCAGAATTCCATGAAGTCGGTGACTAGCGCAAAAGGAAAAACAGAAGCATGGGTTCCGCACTCTGGATCAGGTTCCAACCCCTGGTCCATGTTGCACAAAAATAGAATTACGTAGGGTTTTGCACTTTGGATCAGGTTCCAACCCCTGTTCGATAAGATTGTGTGGGAAGCAAAAAAATATATTTTCTCAAGGTTGTTATTCTAGTTATCAAATACTTTTATTTTATTTCCAATATAAATAGAAGTAGTTTAGCATCTAGAGAAGCCATTCTTAGGTACATATTATCTTCTTTTTTTTAGTGTTATAGAGTTTTGTCGAGATGCAGCTAAAGTGCTAAACTTTCAATAAAATTAGGGAGAATTTTGATTGAAGAATTTGATTTGTTATTTTATTTTGATTTTTTTATAAATTTTATTGTTTCATTTTATTTTTGAGAGATTATTAATTATTTTTGGATTTGAAAACTTTAAAAATTATATTTATCAAATTTTATAGAAGATTAGTCATGCTCTTTTCTTGTGTAATTTGTTAGAATATAATTGATTAGTATATTTGTTTTATGGATTGATCCTTTACTGCAGTATTATTGATTAGATATATGAAGACTACTAGGGTTCGAGGGAAGGATGCGGCGGCCAAAGAGGACAGTGACTTCCGACGGCAACAAGGGCTTAGGAGGCGAATTCCAGGGTTCAGTAATCAGTTGTCAGGACAGGCTCGGACGTTCTTTTTCTACAATTTTCCTGAGAATTTGAGGGCAAAGGATCTGTGGTATTGTTTTCAAGGGTATGGAAAGGTAGTTGATGTATTTGTGCCGAACAAGAGAGATAAATGGGGGAAAAGATTTGGTTTTGTTCGTATGGTAGGGGTGATGAACGAGTATAGAATGGAGAAGAGGCTTAATGAGATTTGGTTCGGGTTTTATAAGTTACGGGTGAGGATCGCTGATCACCCATTGAAGCAGAGTGCAGGGCAGGAAAAGATGACAAGGAGCAATGCGAATAGATTGGTTCAACCTGGGCAGTCTTATGCACAGGCGGTTGTGGGGAACAATCAGAGGTATGTCAAGAAACAGGATAACGAAAAGGGAGTACCTGAAAAGGAGAAAGGTAAGGTTCAGGTGGAAATGGTCCCAGTGCAGACAGTACAGCTTGATAAGAATGAGCAGGTTGACTCAAGTGATACGATGCAGGGGCAGATGGGGACGGTGGGGAGTGTAGGGGATCAAGCCCAAGCGGCAACCATTGATTTTTCTCCGATGGAGGAGGAGCTACATTGGCTGGAGGGGGGTATGGTGGCATTATTAAAGTCATTAAGGTCAATTACGAGCATACAGGATATTATCGATGTGGATGGAGGGTTGATTTCAGTATCACCTTTAGGGGGCAGATCAGTGTTGTTAACTAAAAAAGTGAAAGGTTACCTGGGTGAGTTCATGGAGCAGAATAAAGAATTGTTTGACACATGGTTTGAATCCATAAGGCCATGGGCAATGGCAACTTCGTTGAGAAGTAGACTAGTTTGGTTGCGAGTTTCAGGCATCCCGTTAAAAGCATGGTCTGATAGGTGTTTTTCATTGATCGGAGGAACAGTGGGTGAGGTGGTGATGGTGCATGATGATACCAGAAATAAATTGTTTATGTGTGAAGGAAGGGTTTTAGTTCTTTGTAGTGAGGAATTCAAAATTGCCAAGAATGTACAATTGAAGATTGAGGGCCAGTCATATGAGGTGGGGGTTGTGGAGGAAGAATGGAGGTCAGATCCCGACTGGTGGGTAATGGATGGTGAGCGGCGGAGCTATTCAGGAGCTTCATCGGAATATTCCTCACAAAACGGTGATGAAGATCCATAAATTAGTATTGACGAGATTAGCGCCGAGGATGATGATAGCATTGATTTGGAGCAGTTTCAGAAGGAAGGAGTTTTGAATTCAAATAATAAGGAATTAACGGGTCAGGAGGAAGCAGGCATGAGTGGCGGGATTGAACAATATGGGAGGATAGAGGACTTGCATGGGCTGGTAAAGGATAATGGGTTGATAGATGTTATTGGGCCGAGAGTTAGTCTTAATGGGATGGTTGAAAATTGTAATAGCATAAGGCCCAATGACATAGTTCTAGAAGGGTCCGCACATGACAAAGTCGGTAAAGAAGGGATGGGTAAAAAGATGAGACAAATTGCAGATTGCTATCCATAAGAGGGGAGAGAAAATCGAGAAGATCAAGCAGATTGGGTGACTGGGCGGACGAAGTAAAGGCGCGCAAGGAGGGTGAAGGCGCAACAGTTGCCAGCAGAATCGGGAAAGACGCAGCAGATGCTAGCAGAATTGGGAAGGAAACATCAAGAAGGAAGATGTGCCTCTATCTCAGATGGGTGTATTGCTCACCGGAACCGTGTGATTCAACAGGATCTAAGTCTGCAAGAGGTAAGAAGATTGATTACAGCTGGGCGACGGTTGGGCATGCAGTTCCAAGGAAGTGAAGAGGAGGTGGAATCTCGGTTTTTAGAGCTGGAGCAGAGGGATGAGGTCCGGGGGAGAAATAGCTAAGCTCTGGGTCTGTTGGGAGGTAGAGTGGCTGTGGGTTTGTTGTTGAAATGAAATTTGTTTCCTTTAATGTCAGAGGGTTGAGGGGTACGGTGAAGAGGAGGGAACTGGGTAACTTAGTAAGGGTAGAGAAACCAGATTTTTTATTTGTACAGGAGACAAAATTAGAAGAGGTAGAGGAAGGATTGTGTAAAATGTTGTGGTATTCCGATGAGTTTGGTTGGAGTATGAAGAGCTCGGTTGGAGCATCTGGAGGGTTGTTGTGTGTGTGGAACAGGACAGTTTTTGTCAAATTGGAGGAATTTACAGGGGATGGGTACTTGGGTATAAAAGGGGTTTGGGGTTCAAAAGAGGAGCCGTGTGTTTTTGTGAACGTATATGCTTCGAGTGATAAAAGGAGCAAGGCTGCGTTATGGGATGAGCTGAGCCAGAAAATTACAAAAGAGGGTGGGAGATGGTTGCTGGCAGGGGACTACAATGTTGTTCGGTGTCTTGAAGAAAAAAGGGGAAGGACAGGTATGAGTGTTGATATGTCGGAGTTTGATGCTTTCATAGAGACAACAGGATTGGTTGATATTAAGTTGCCCAATCGGAAGTTTACATGGTATAGACCGGATGGTACATCCATGAGCAGATTGGATAGGATACTGATGACTGTGGAGATGAGCAGTATGGGTGAGGATTGGGTGCAGTAGGGGTTGCGGAGGAATATATCCGATCACTGTGCTATTATTTTGAAAACAAGAGTCGCGGATTGGGGGTCTAAACCTTTTTGGGTGTTGGACGTTTGGCAACAACATCCAGAATTTAAGACAGTAGTTGAAGGAAAATGGAATGAGATGGTGGTTGATGGGTTTGCAAGTTTTCGATGCTTACAGAAATTAAAGATGCTGAAGAAATTTTTGAAATGGTGGAATAAGGAAGTGTTTGGGGATATAGAAGTTCAATTTCAAGCTACTATGGATAAAGTTGCGCAGATGGATATGAAGAATGAAGAGGCTGATTTAGAAGGGGAAGAGTTGGCTGAAAGACAAGAAGGCTTTCATGAAATGTGGGAAATTATGAAGAAAAGGGAGATTTTATGGAAGCAGAAATCAAGATGTAGCTGGGCAAAATTAGGGGATGCTAATACGAGGTTTTTTCACAAAGTTGCAAATGGTAGAAAGGTTCATAATAACATTAATGGGTTTGCATGTGAAGGCAAGTGGGTGGAGGAGCCAAAGGAGGTGAAGAAAGAGGTTGTCAGGCACTTTAGTAAGATGTTTGCTGGAGAATCATGGCAACATCCCAAGCCTGTCGGAATCAATTTTAATCAGATCTCCAAAGAGAAGAAAGCGGAATTAGAAAGGCCCTTTTCTGTAGAGGAGATTGAGGAAGGATTGAAGAGCTGTGAGGGAACAAAAGCTCTCGGGCCGGACGGATTCAATTTTAATTTTCTCAAATGTGTGTGGAACTGTTTGAAGGAGGATTTTATGAGCTTTTTTGAGGAATTCCATCAGAACGGCAGGTTAGTAAGAGGATTAAATTCTTCTTTCATATCATTAATCCCTAAGAAGTTGAATCCTTTAGAATTAAAGGATTTTAGACCTATTAGTTTGATTGGATGTCTGTATAAGTTATTGGCTAAGGTGCTGGCTAATAGGCTAAAGGGCGTAATGTCGGGGTTAATTAGTGACACGCAATCTGCTTTTCTGGGGGGTCGTCAATTGGTTGATAGTGTTCTAGTGCTAAATGAGGTGGTCGATGAGGTTAAATTGAAGAAACAAAAGGCCTTCGTTTTTAAAGCTGATTTTGAAAAGGCTTATGACTGTGTAGATTGGGCATACTTGGATTGGATGCTGTGCAGGATGGGCTTTGAAATGAAATGGCGCGGGTGGATTAGAGAATGTCTTTCAACAGCAAGGATTTCGGTATTAGTTAATGGGAGTCCGACGGAGGAGTTTGTGATGGGAAGAGGTTTAAGGCAAGGTGACTCGTTATCTCTGTTTCTTTTTCTGATAGTTGCTGAGGGGTTAAATGGGTTAGTTAGGAGAGCTGAAATTGAAGGAATGTTACATAGCCCAGTAGTGGGTAATACGGGGTTAACTGTTTCTTTGCTTCAATTTGCTGATGATACGGTGATTTTGGGGGATGCTGACAGCGAAAATATATTTGCGGTGAAGACCATTTTAAGATGTTTCGAGTTGATGTCTGGATTAAGGATTAATTTTTCCAAGAGTAGTGTGGTCGGGTATAATGTGTCAGAAAGGTGGATTAAAGGGGCAGCAAGTGTCTTACATTGTGGTGTTGGGGAAACTTCTTTTATGTACTTGGGGTTGCCGGTTGGTGGGAAGATCAGTTGTAAGAAGATGTGGGAACCGGTTCTGAAAAAATTTCGAGCCAAGCTTGCCGTCTGGAAGTCTTCTACGTTGTCCTTTGGTGGCCACATCACTCTACTCAACTCGGTACTCTCTGCTATCCCTATCTTTTATATGTCATTATTCTTAATGCCGAATTGTGTGGTTTCGGAGTTGATTAGTATTCAACGGGCTTTCTTGTGGGGTGGGGTGGAGTTAAAGCGGTGAATTCCTTGGGTTAAATGGGATTATATTTGTCTCAGTAAGAGGAAGGGAGGCTTAGGAGTGTTAGATATACGTAGGAAAAACTGGGCGTTATTAGGAAAATGGTGGTTCAGATTAGGGGATGGGGTGGAGGGTTTGTGGAAGAAGGTGATGTGGGAGAAATATTATGGGGGCAGGGAAGAAGTAGATATTACGGCTTTGGAGAGTGTGAGGGTATCTCGGATTTGGAGGGATATTATCAGTATAGGTCAACAATCTGGAAGGTTACAGGATATGTTGGTCAAGGGGTTCAAATGGGGGGGTCGGGGAGGGTTGTCGAGTGGGGTTCTGGAGGTCGGTGTGGGTGGGGGAGAAAGCTTTATGAGAATTGTGTCCTAGATTGTTTCAGTTGGCTGTAAATAAGGAGGGTTTAGTAAGTGAGATGGGGGGTTGGGAGGCGGGTAGTTGGAGGTGGAATATAATTTGGAGGAGAGGGAGGTTTGGAAGGGAGAAGGATGAGGAGTTGAGGTTGTGGGAGGTGTTGAATACAGTTGGTCTTAAGGTGGGAGTTGAAGATTATTGGCAGTGGATTCATGTTTCAGATGGGAAGTACGTGGTGAAACAAGTTTATGAGTTTTTGGAATCGACGGAATCTATCCTTAATGATTGGTTGTGTAAGTTAATTTGGTGTCGCTTAGTACCCTCTAAAGTAAGTTTCTTTGGGTGGAGATTATGCCTTCAGAGACTTCCAACAAAATGGAATTTGCAAAAGAGAGGAGTGGTGTTAGAGGGGGGCTTAATGTGTGGGATGTGTAATGAGGAGGTGGAAGATATTAATCATGTGTTTTGTACTTGTAAGGAAGTTTGGTTAATTTGGGTTATGGTTTTGTCTTGGTGGGGTTTTGAGGGTGTGTTGCCGAGTATTTTGGAGGGGGTAGCAGAAATTTTCTGGTTTGGGTTGGGTAAGGTGGTAGGGAAGGAGTTGGGAGCAAGCCTTTTTCTTGTCACATCATGGTATATATGGTATTGGAGGAATTGTAGAGTATTCAAGGGAGATGTGGCTCTTCGGGAGGGGTTGTTGGCTATGATACAGGAAAAGACTTTCTTCTGGTGTAAGAATAAAGTGCAGGGATGTGTATTTTCGGTTAGTGATTGGAAGTTAAATCCGCATGGGTGTGCTGCAGCTATGAGAAATCATAAGAGGAGGCAAAAGGAGTTCCGTCTAAACCAAACAGGAAGGGTATAGAAGTAGCAGTAGCCAGATGATTCCTTATATTTTGGTTTTCATTGGGTATAATTTAATTTTGTATATGGGTTAGAGTACCCCTTGTACTCCGCAATATAAAGTTGATTTTTGCTGATAAAAAAAAAAATTATTGATTAGATATATTGTCACTCTTTGATAGCTCGTAAGGATAGATCAATTTGTTTTTCATTGAAATTAATTTACCTTAAAATAAATACATTAGTTATTATTTTTGGTTTTCAAAGTTAAATCTTTCGATTGTTTGTTTGAGATGTGAAATATGCAATTGAGTAATAAATAAGAATCAAAATTTATAACAGTTGAATAAATTAATTAAGTAATCCTTGAAATCTTATTTCTCATAATATTGTTTT